ATGATTTAGTTGGTGTTGATCCTGCTTTGAGCAGGGGGTTGGACTAGATGACCTCCTGAGGTCTCTTCCAACCCTAATCTTCTATGACTCTATGATTATGAGATGTTTTGAACTGCAGTACCATCACTATACTGTAGTCAATTGGAGTTAATGGAATTGCATCCACCTACACCTGTTTGAATAGGGCACATTGTACACCTGATTGCTCAGTTGGGTGCACAACTGGGATTGCGCTGTGGAGCTCGTTTGTGCATATGACAATATTTAATTGGGTTTGTGCATGAACGTTCATTTCCATTTACGTTGCTGACCGTGGTCCTGTTAGGAGGCTCCCCCATTCCCCACTTAGGCTGCAGAGGGAGTTTAGCCCATCAGAAGAGTCAGATGCTTTGGAGGCTGCTTCCATCTCCCTCTAATCGGCCCAGACAAGCAGGTGCTTCAATGACTCCCTATGAAAAGCCTCATAGACTAGTCACAGGCAGTATCTCCAGCTTAGTCTGCACAAGGAGAAGTTCCAAATGCTTTCCTATGGGGCCCCAAGTCAGTAATCAACCTGTGCTGCACCAAACTGTCATGGGCCATCCAGAGAGCTGTGGACGGGCCATGTACGAGGTGGCAGAACATATATGCAGAACAGCCTATATGCACTGTTGTGGTGTACAGAATCCAGTCCATCCTGCAGGCAGGACACAGGGCAGGTCTGCAGCCCCAGGCTGAAACTGGAGCCATGACACCTGGGCACCCCCTTCTCCTCTTACTTACGCCAGTGAAAAATAGGAGTAACTATTGAAGTAAATGGAGTTTTGCTACTGTAAAACTGGTATCAGAGGAGAAGCAGCCCCCCAGCTCTCCTCAGCCTGATGCAAAGGCCCACTGTATTCTGCTGTATGAATAGCAAGCATGGAGCTAGTTATATGGAGTTCCTCAGCTGTCTCACTCCACATTTGCCTTATCCAGAACAGTGGAAACACTGATTCCACTGACTTAGGGCCTGCTATGGCCCTTAGGCCTATGACGGAATTTTGTCACTAAACGGCTGATCCACCCTAACAAATGACATTGTAAAAAGAGCCTTCTAGGGTTCCATATTCATTGTAATATGCGGGCCAAATTATGTCATCAGCCACACCTCTGCCACCCATTATCTTCAGATTGTGCCCTCAGCGACACCTGGGCAACCCCACTAGCCTTACATTAATCTGAGGGCATCAGTTGGCGTGAAGAACCTGTGATGAGTTTCAAGCAAACCAGCTCTAAATAGGGTTTTGTTGAGCCTCATAGCATAATTTGGATTTTAACCTAACCATAAAACCTGTTTCTTTACTGGGTGTGAATCAAATAACTAGTTTCTCTGTTACAGCTAGAAGGGGGAGTTGGGCATGGTGTCTCTGCTCAGGTTGCTAGGAGGCTGGGGTTGGGCTGGAGAGAGGGTCCCTTGCGGAGCGTGGTGGGGTGGTGATTTAGGAAGGAAATGTTAATTCCTAATAGGACTGGTTGGAAAACAATTCCATTTTGAAAAAAAAAAAGGTTTATGAAATGGGAGGCTATCACAGATACTCTACCCCCAAGCAGGCAAACACTTGTTGTAGATTTTTTAGCAATAGCAAAAAATGCCATAAAGGGGTTATCTCATGTTTTTTCTTCTAACTGCAATTTACAGTAATCCATAGAAGCTTGAAACTGAAATCTGGTTTCATACTACAAAATTTTGCCTTCTGTCACACACAAATTGATTTGTTATTGTAGGGTTGCTCCTGAATTTGGGGCACCTGCTCTTGATCTTTCCTGTTTCATAAGAAGATCATTCAAGCATTTGGGATTTTGAGGGGGAGGTTTGAACTGACATACCTAGCTCAATCATGCAAGGTGCTGAGCTTTCTGGTCCTAATCCAGCAAAGAATTCAAGCACGTGTTTAATTTTAACAGTGTGATTAGCCTCATTGCTTTCCATGGGATGAGTCATGTATTTAAAACTAAGAATGTGCTTAAGTGCTTTGCTGGATCAGGGCCAGAGTGTTCAGCACCTTGCAGGATCAAAGCCAGAAAGAATTGCATAGAGTTTGTAGACAGACAGAGGAGAAGAAAAGGTGAGTGACATTTCAGGCCTACTGACCTTGACAGTGTCCCTTTAAATTGTTGATCAAAAAATATTATTTTGAGACTGATTGAATCAAGGTTTTAAAGGGCATGCTAATAATTCTCTATCTAATGTAGCTATCTAGGGGTTCTTCATAATGCTCAGCATCATAGAATGCAAGCACTGCATCTAGATCACCTCATACTGCACAAATAAATAAATAAGAAGGATATTGCATCATGAAACGTACCTTTTAAATGGGGGGGGTAGTTTTAACTGAATTTTCTTGGTTTTGTGTTTTTAATATTAAATAATTAACATATAATCTGCTTATCATTTGAGGGATTTATAATTTGATATGGGGAACTGGGGGTTTCTTTGTTTGGAGTTCTTGGGTTTTGGTTGATTGGTTTGGTTTTTGTGGAGAGTTTGGACTAGGCTAGTCCAAAATAAAATTGCTGAATTCTAGGTCTGCTTTCCATTTGAATAATATTAAAAGACTGTGTTGACCTCTATGTCTCATTCATGCTACACATTCCCAGTAGCAATGCAGGAACTTCAGAAGGTTCAGAAGTTTAGCTCATGGTCTGATAAACATCAAGACTTTTGATTCTTAGCTGAACTCTATTGGAACATCTCAAGTCTGCAAAATGTGCCTGGAAATCTCAAGAGAATAAACATGCTTGACAGATTTCTGGTACTTCTTGTCCCCAGCTGGGCTATAAATAGCACCACAACTCTTGGGATGTTTCAGCAGCTCTTTTCCTGGTTGTGGCAGGTGCAGATATGGATGAAAATGACAAATAACAGGAGATGTGGAGAAAAGTACCCGGACAGTTCTAAATTTCAAAAAAGGTTTAATTCGGCTGAAGTTTGGGGTAAAAGTTTGCATTGCTAGTTATAATTTTATTCCAAACCACTTCACCCCTTCCAGATTTGCATCTACTACAAGAGCTTTAAATGGTGTGAATGAGTAATTTATAAAAAAGTAATAATACTTTGCACTCCTATAGGGCCTTCCGTGTGAGGATCTCAAAGCGCCTTAGAAACATTAATGAATTAAGTCTCCCAACATCACTGTTAACTAGGTATTCCTTGTCCCCTCTTCTACAGAGTGGGAAGCTGAGGCCCAAAGAGATTAAATGGTTTGCCCAAGGGCACACAAGAAGTCTATGGCAGAGCTGGGACTGGAACACAGCTCTTCAGAGGCCTAGTCCTGGCCTGTCCTCTACAATGCTTCCTCTCCTTTTCCACATTTCAAGTTAGGAACACAGGTGTCTGACAGCATTTGGGGCCAAACCATCCTCTCTCATGACAACACACAGGAAGAGAAAAGCTAGGGGAAATTAAATAGAGGGCAGAGCACAGAGAGCCAGAATTTTAAAGGTATTTCAGTGGGTAAAGATGCGATAGGTGCCAAGGGGGATTTTCACACTAGGAATTGTACGGGAGTTAGACACCTAAGTGCTTTTGAAAATCCCACTAGGCCTCCATCTGTATCTTTAGGCACCAAAATACCTTTAAAAATCTGGTCCAGACATCATAGTTCAAGGCATAGGAGTTAGACATAATCCTCTTTCCAAACATATGTCTTGAGATCTATGGGGGGGAAGTTCCATAGATTTTTAGGGGATTTTTGCAGACAGTCTACTTTCCATGCTAAACTGTGAGCGTCCCTTCCTAACCTTGGTGAGTCCATGGCTTTCTGCTCCCCCTTCAAGGTATGCAGCAGGAATTAATGCTGGAACCGTCATCATTCACTCCCTCCGGAATTTCCCATGGAAATTACGTTGATTTGCTGGCAGATAATAGTGTAGAGGGCTGTCGGCTAGATTCAAACTGCTACCATGCTGACATATCCTTTCAATCCACAGAGCTCCAGATGGATGGTGTCTGTGTGGTGAGGCTTTGTAAGAAGGGAGGTGGGAGTGGATTATGTTGGTTCAGCTCTCTACCTTCTCCTGTACATTTACACAGCAGATTTTCATGCCTTCACCTCACCACTGCAGTGCAGTGCCTTTTGCAGTTTACTGGAGTGCATATGTAATTTTAGGCCTAAGAAAAGGCTCTTTGCCCCAACATGCCAATGGAGTACATGCTCTGCATGCATATAATAGTCATTTCCATTTTGTATTTATTCTGTGCATGGATCCACTTCCTAAATGGTTTACTTGACATAATGGAATAACAGCCTCCACAATTTCATTCGCAAAATAAAATCTGAGCTTGTTGTGTGTTATAAGAGCACCCAAAAAGTATCTGAAAACAGTGAAGCTTTCTGTTAGCTACTGGGAAAGACGAGACAGATATGGTTTGAATTTTCTTTTCTAGGCTGAAATTTTGTATTCTACATGTCAGATCATGAAGCAAAATTTATGGGGGAGTTATATGTTTCTTAAAGGGGGCCATTTATAATAGGAATAGACCTAAAAGCCTACCATTTTTAAAGAGTATAATGATTTTGGGAGCCTTAATTTTTGGATGACACCTTGTGGGTGCCTGATTTTCAGTGGATGGGTGCTCCGCACCTAGAATTGGAGTAACTCAACATCATTAGTCACTTTTGAAAAATCAGGCCTTTCAGCTGTGATTGGGACCAAAGTCACCCCCATATAATTCCTCCTAGAAAGCTTTTTCAAATACTAATTGTTTACTCAGTATTAATTCAGATCATTGATCTCTTTGGTTTTACTGCCCACACTAGGCATATCAGTGACTCACATTCTTAAGAGATGAACCTGAGAACGGTGGTTATTGACAGCGCTGCAATTTGCACAATAAAGTTTAACAGTTTACATCCACTGTACAGCTTTATCAATGTTTTCAATGTATCACCAGCTCAGTTTATTGGTACTTATGCATACATTGATTCTTTCTCTCTCTCTTTCTCTCTCTCTTTTTTTTTTCCTTCTGGTTCCCCAAGCATGCAAACGCAAAGAACAAGAACCGAATAAAGACAGGAACAATTCCCAGAAGAAATCTCGTCTGGTTTTCACCGATCTCCAGCGCAGAACACTTTTTGCCATCTTCAAAGAGAACAAACGTCCATCCAAAGAAATGCAGATCACCATCTCCCAACAGCTGGGCTTGGAACTTACCACTGTCAGTAACTTCTTCATGAACGCTAGGAGACGCAGCCTTGAGAAATGGCAGGATGATTTGAGTACAGGGGGATCCTCTTCAGCCTCCAGCACTTGTACCAAAGCATGATTGAAGAAAGGAATCTAAATTAGGCACAACTCAACCATAAAAAAGAGAAAAAAAGAATGAAAGGAAAGAAAAAGTATGGATTCTGAGTGGGGCCCTTCACTGGTGATTTGAAAGCACAATTCTCTTGGAAAGTAATTCTAGTCTAGTTGTAAACATAGGACACTTTTTTAATGGCTATTTAGTCAGTTTTAGAAGGCGCAAATCACGAATTAATCTCTTTCTATATAGTATTACATTCAAGACAGGCTAAGCATATCCAAAATATAAGTGGGTCATTCATGACATAAATTTTTCCTGAGAGCCAATGAAGACTTCAACTATGGACCAGCATTTAAGGCGATGGGAGTACTGCAGGATTGCCCAGAGTTGGTAGCTAAACAGAAATGCAAACATGTGTGACCTACTTTGTTTTCCAAATGCTTAGGCTTGCCACACCACAAAATACCAAAGCTTACACCCATAACATGATAACATGAGAACTGAGCACAAATCTTAAAAGATGAAAATTGAAAAATCCAAGAACCTGTTTTGTAATCTCAGGCATTGTTTTGTTTAGATGTTTTAGAAAAAAAAATTGATCCAATTTTATGTTTTGGGTTTATTTTTTTAACTTATCAGTGAACACTCACATGGTCTTGGATCACTAAAATTCAGTTCACTTGAGCTCAAAGTATCAAGCACAAAGACAATAGATACAGAAATAGAACGGTTCTGGACTTGCTACATCTGTTCTTTCAAGACACTCTAATTTATGAAGTTGTTAATGAAAAGTATGTGACCACACAAGCTTCAAGCACATTTTGCTGTTTGTCACAAATTCTGTGTTTGTACATAATGCAGATGCACACTCAGGAGGTCAATTTAACTGCTACAGTGCATGGAGCAAACACAACACTTTGAGAGAGCTACATTTCCTTAGGTCATCAGTATGTCCTTTTTAGTTATTAGCATGTAGTTTCTCCTTATTTCATTGTTACTGAAGTCTATTTAGGTGGTTTTTTTTAAATTGATGCATTCTGTATTAGAGTTCCTTGGTATTTTCTTAGCAGAAAAAAAGCATCCACTTTCAGGATGTCACTGACCATTTAGATGTGCTGCATATGACTTAAATATCACATCAAAATCTATCACATCTCCATTACCAATTCATTTAACCTGAAGAGAACACAGTACACCAAAGATGCAGTATATTGCAAGCCAAAGACATATATAACTTGCCATTTATTTTCATCATCATCATAGTATTGTGATTATTTTAGAAATCAGAAAACCTTGCAAACTCCAAAAAAAGTACAACTCTATCATTTTAGTTTGCTGTACAATTGAGCAGAAAGTGGATGCTGACAAAATTAGCAAAGTCGTGAGTGGAGTAGCAGAGCTAACAGGGCCATACTAGCTGCAGTTACAGTAGTCTTCAAAGAGCATAAACAATCCTTATCACTGAAATTGTTATGGTCACTTGATGTGCATATTTACCAGTGAATGGCCCCTTTTGAAACACCAATTGAGTGTTCAAAAGCAAGCCAAACGCTGTAATGATTCTTTAAAGACACTTGAGACTTTTTTATGTACTACTTAATCGAAACCAAAGAAACTTTTTCTGCACCTACTTCTTCTGCAACAAACTGTTCCATTTTAATAAAATAAAATAAAATAAAAAAACCAAGGAAGCACGTCAGGAAACAAAAACAACACAACACACTGTGTTTGACAGACATCTTGGACATTTTAGGAAGCAGATTTCAAAGAAAGGGTTGACAAGAATGAAAACAAAGTAAAGCCAATGTGAGTGCTGCTTCATCTGACAACTCAGTAATCTTAAAGTTGAAGATTGTCTTTAATTTGTGCCTATGCAGTTTTTTCAAAAGAACAAGGAACAGAGCAACCGAAACCTCAACAGCTACAATACCAAAGATGAGGATTTCTCACAACTTTTGTTTCAGTTCATTATCTCCTCTTGCACGGCTAAAATGCTTATAGCACCATTGATCTGTGTAAAGGTAATCAATTCTCTTTCTTTGAGCAACAAAAAGGGTGGTTTTTAATTTTTTATTTTTTTTTCTGTTTCTCCCCCCACATGGAATCTTTCAAGGATTCCATGGACTCCAAGTATAAGGTGTTGGGATACTAAACTAATCTGTCTTCTCTGTCCATAAGAGTATGTGGGAAAATGTGTCAATTGAATATTATTTGTTTTTTTAACAGGTAGAATTGTTCTTTTCTATGTTCAGAGCTTTAAACAACCATCCCATATGGGAAAAAATGCTTAACTGACCAGATCCTCTTCCCCTTCCCCTTAAATGAATCTCGCAAGATAGGTACTGAAATACTTCATTGTAAATACTGAATATCACTAGAGATGAGCCTGAATCACAAAGATCAGATCTAGAATTGAAACTGGATCAGAGCTTCCAGTAGTTCAGGTGGTTTGCATTCATTGTTCTGGTTTGAACCATTATACTTCCAAATAATGAAATTTGGATCCAGGACCAAATCTGAATTTCCTCAAATTTTGGGGGGTAGGGGAGAGGGAATCTGAGGAGGGTTGTAACCAGTGTCTCAATTCAACTCCATCTCTACACATGACTTAGGACTTCTTTTCAAATAACACTGCATATAAAAGTAATATAATCAGTTTCTGCATTTTACATTTTTTTTTAAGAAAAGAAAGAAAAACAGAAAATGTTTCTGTACCAGAAGGATAATTAGGACCTTTCCTTAGAAATAAATTCAAGATGGCTACCTGGGAATCAGCATCAGCAACTAACCTGATGAATGCTAGCTTTGGGGGGAAATTATTCTTTCCGCATAACTCTTTCCCAGAGAAGGTTGGTCATACATGAGTCTCCAAAGAACAAGGGAAGCCTCATTATCAGAGATGGAACTGAGTTGCAAAGGCCAGATCTGGACTCACACTTTTCCAAGGAATCAAGGTGTTGGGGTTTAAGGTTTTGATTTGGCCCATAGTAGAAAGAGGGTCCAGCTTATGAAGCTTTGATCCAAATCTAAACGTCACATTCAAAGTTTGGTATGAAGCTAGTGTTCAAATCAGGGTTGGTTTGAGAATGCCTATCTCCACGCATGTCCTGCGCATGATCATTGACCACTAGCAATTTTCCATCCTAATACTGCTGTTCTTCATTTTCTAGCAGTATTATACAATGATGCTTTTCTTATTGTTTTTCTCATATCCCATTCCATAATGTTATATACCCTTCGCTGTTCTATAAAGGGGATGGACATAGTACTTTAGTTAAAGCACAGAATGTCATTTCTTAACCTCTTTTAGATTACTGTCAATTTTCCTTATGATTTCAATTAATTGATGTGTATATCTGACAAACAATAATATCCCAGCCATCATTTAAGGAATGTGGTCAAAATGAGCTGTCCATGCCAAAGTAAGTTTTCCATACAGATGGCCTTCTAACATTAAGCACATCCACCTGGTGGCGGGTTCTGTCTTTTGTTTAACGTCTCCTTTATAATCAAGGGGAAAGTGCCATGTTTCCCATATGAGTTTTTTATGCTGGAAAATTAGAGTGATTTGTAAACTTTTAACGAGTAAAAGGAGAAAAGTGAGTAAATTCTCACAACTTCAAAGACCATTTTACGTCATATGCACTGAATCCCAAGGAATTTTCTAGAAATTCCTGCCACATCTCTTTCTTATTGTTTGAGGCCAGATTCTAGTACCCCGACCTTTGCTGAGTAGTATTGCATTCTGTGAGAAGCCTTATGAATTTCAATGGGACACCTTGTGGCATATATTGCTACACAACATGAGAGAATCAGAATCAGGTCCTTGATTGTTTCAGACCAAAATAGCATAATTTATTGTCAAAAATCTAAACACCTTTTAGGCTTTATTTGTCTCATCTCATCAATAAAAAATACAGCAGATGCCCAACTATCTCTGGAAAGAGCATGGCCAGGAAATTTGTGTCTAAGCTTCATATCTCATGGGGGTATGCAAAAGCTGTTAACCACGCAATGAAAAAGAGCTATTTTTATTCAAGGATGAGTGTAAGTCTTTTTTATTTGACTCTAGGCCAGCAGCTGCAGCCAGAACAATCCAGGTTAAATACTGAATTATTAACAAACAAAAATTATCCTTAAGATAAAATGTGATATTTTTGATTCCCTGCAAATGTTTGGATGTGCTTGGTAGACAATATAATGGCTCAAATTCCAATCTTTAAATTTAAACTACTAGAAAACAATCACACACTGGAAACAACATATTGATTTTGCTGTTATGATTAGGGTTCCAACCCTGCAGCCTTTGCTCAAGCAGAATTGCAGCTTAAGATTTTGCCTGAGAGAGGATTGCATTTTAAGGCCATGGCCATGTCAATGTTCCTATTATATGCCTGTTTGTCAAAAATGATTTTGATATGGACATATGAAAATACTGCTGCATTTTTGACTCCCATATATTTGATCAACCCATATTAAGTCTTCCATTTCATTGTCAACTGTAGCAGGCTTTTTATGTAGCATATAACTCAGAAAATGAGTGTTAACAGTATAAACTGAGTGTAGATATATATGTGGGTATGCGTACACATATGTATGATATACAGTATATTCTGTTTATACTAAAAAAAATATCCAAAATGTGCGTGTTACATTTATATGCCATCTGTTTATAACTCTCTATAGCTATATGGCTATAACTTGTATCTTTTTTGTTTATTTGTTTGGCTCCAAAAAAACTAATGTAAAAATAGTATCCCAGCATCTTCTTTACTATATACTTGGAGTCACTATCATGGGCACATCCAAGATGAATTCAACTTTCAAGAACCCTTGGATATTGTTTAATCATCTCTGAAGGAACAAAGAATGTGCTTGATTACTTCGGTTGAATAGCTTTATTCTGGATCTCTCTTAACTAAAGCTAAATCCAAAGACCTGAGAAGGACTAAACCAGCAAAGCAAAGCTCAAACCTACTTAAGGGAATAGGAATCTCCTCTTCCAAAAGGAGACATGGTAATGACATAGCTTTGGAAAGGTTGTGCTAGCTATGGGGAGTGGGGGGGGGGGCAAATCTGATGTTTTTCTTGCTTGTCACAACACCTGAGTATTTTTAAAAGTGGGAAAACTTTATAGATTATACTGGGCCTAATTTGTATTTATTAAGGGGAATTTTTATTGTTTAAAATTTTTTTTAAATGGTAATCTTTGAATTATTTTTTTTCCTGACTCTTTTGGGTTGTGACCCAATATATTAACTATCAATGATGTACTTTATTTAAATTAGTCTCAGACCAATCCTGACGTCTTTATTCAGGCTAAATCCCCATATGGTTTCATTTTATTTTAATATTCAGTGGGAGTTTTGCCTGCTTACAGACTGCAGGAACAGGCTCAAGTGATAATCTTTTGTAACTATTTAATTTAAATCATTCCTGATTATTTTGTCATTTGAGTTAATTTTACGTATTTATCAGTTCTAGAATTGTAGCGCATCATAGATGCAATGCTTATATTA